GGTAACAAACACAGATGAACGACGAATCATTTCATGTGCTAGCACGAAATGCAATCAGGCCCAAAAACGCTATCATAGTAATGTGCAGGAGGTGTTGGCCGCTGTTTGGGCGTGCCGGCGCTATCGAGCGCTGCTAGAAGGGAGGCCGTTTATATTAAAAATGGATAGTAAGTGGTTGGAGAAGATGAAAGACGAACGAGCAAAACTGACCCGATATTCATTACTGTTACAGGAATTTGAATTTCAAATTCAACATTGTCCTGGCAGGGAAAACCAACTGCCTGATTTTTTGTCAAGAAATCCGAACGAAGAGACCCATGAACCTGACGAGGAAAGACTGTTACCCAACGAAGGACGTATAAGCAAACCAAGTGATCAGAATCAAACCATAGCTGTTAATGAAATTGAAACTAAGACAAATAACCCGAGTAGTGACGGACCTAGAAAATATCGCAAAGTCCCACATGCTTTTGTGAAACCTATAAAAATACAGCAATTAGAAATAGATGGACCGCTCTTTTGTGAACAGATCGAAAATGCGCAAAGAGAGAGCCCAGAGTATCAAATGACCAGAGCACGTTGGCATCGATTGCAGAGCGGTGAAAAAAAAGTAAAATATACTTGGCAGAAAACGTTGAGAGACCAGTATCGAGTGGAGGATGGATTGATATGGTATGTAGTGGGGGAAAGGAAAGCCCTAGTAGTACCGCTGAATTTTTGACGTCGAGTGATCCATGCTGCACCGGAAGCAGGCCACCCAGGCCGTGACGAAACATTGGAGGCAATTTCGAAACTTTATTATTGGCCGGCCATGGGTAAACAAGTCAATACGCATGTACGATACTGCCTAGTGTGTGCTTATATCAAGAAAGGTGGAGCGAATCAGGCTAAAGCACCATTGAGGCCCCGACCGCCGAAGCGACCTTGGCAGAAAATAAGTATCGATATTATGGGACCGTATCCCGAGACAAGAAAGAAAAACCAATATCTCATCGTCGCCATGGATTTATGTACGAAGTGGATTGAAGCTCTACCTGTACCTGATGCAAAAGCCAGGCCCTGTCGTAGATTTCTTACAAGACGTATGTCAGAGATGGGGCTATCCTGCGGAAACCATTGCTGACAATGGTACCCCATTCCGTAGTGTAGCATGGGCCGAATTCCATAGAAAACATAATATTACTCCTTTCACAATCCCAATATATCATCAAAGGGCTAACCCCATTGAAAGGCGTAATCAAGAAATTAAGAAACTATTACGAATTGATATTGTTACGGGGGGTCGGTTTTGGATTTGTAAAAAAAATGTTTATCTATTTTTTACAGCGGAACGGGTGTTGTGAGAGCATGAGAGAGTGTTCCTAACCTTCCTTTCGCCCGTTTGTCCAGCTAGCTTTGATTTGGAAAACGTATGTGTGTGTTAGATTTATTTAGAGTGGGTGTGACGCGTGTTTGGATGTATGAATGTCTAATTGTTCGTAATTAATGCCTAGGCGCCATCTGTCTATTTGACAGAACCTGTAAGTGTGAATGTGCATGTGTGTGGTTTGCCTAATGTAAGTATTTAGTGCGTATGTACGTGGAGGTCGTCTTCAGAGGTTAACTCAGGCGAAGATACGGTCCACTGGATGACAGCGTTGAAGCTTTGAAAGTGTGCATGCAAAGAAACTAATACCTTAGGAACGCCTGGATACTAATTTCGCTAAGTTAGACGTAATTGGACTTGAATGGCTTGTTTGTGAATGTTTATTTATTATTTGAGTGGCTCTAGTAGACTAGGTTACAATATTGCAAAGAATGACGGATTATTCTCATAAGATTTGACTAGTAATGAGTTTAATGGCTTTAATTTGCTAATTATGACTGCATTGATTGTTTATTTGTTCCAGGAGCCCCGAAAATAGAAAAACCATGCGGCACTTACCTTTCGTTGGCTTAGTAGACCTGGGTAATCCTGAAGATGATGGGAATGTTATCCAAGAACTACACTGAAATACACAGAGTTTTTTGTTACGAGGTGTTTGAATGTTTAAACGTTTTTCGGCGTGAAGTTTATTTATTTGACGGCACTCAAATAATTATTGTCACTGGCACTATCATCAAGTTAATGTAGACTTGTATGCGTAATTTGCGGGTAAGTATGTTGGGTAACTTGGTGACTTGGAGAATTCCTTTTAGGTTTGTTACTGCGGGTAACGTGTGAAACTGATACGTTTGATTTGTGGAATATGCTTGGTACGATTTGGTTAAGCGTTGAATGATTTAGCGTGGATGAATTTGCAAGTTGAAGTAAAAAGATGCTATGCGCGGCGGCGTGGATTTAGTGTCGTAGTGTCGTATTTAGTGTTGTTGAATGATTGTAAGAATTGAACTGAACTGACTGGCGACGTGCGCTGTACTCGATTAAGCCTTCTGTGGTTGGTTAAAATGTATTCGAGCCTTCGACGTTGGGTGCCATGTACTCGATGTTGGCTTCGAGCTCGGGCGAAATTATTTTTTTTGCGTTGGATTTATTTTATTTTGTTTTGTTTTATTTTATTTTGTTTTGTTTTGTTTTGTTTTATTTTATTTTATTTTATTTTATTTTATTTTGTTTTGTTTTTTATTTTTTTGTTTTATTTTGTTTTATTTTATTTTGTTTTTTAATTTAATTTTTTTTTGTTTTATTTTATTTTTTTGAAAACAATAAGGATGGCCTCTGCTTCTGCGATGATAGGACATCTGCTTCTGCGGTGCTAGAACCTCTGTTTCTGCGATGGTAGAACCTCTGGATAAGCACTGGTTAAATGGGTACTTATTTCTAGTTTCAGAAATAAAACCAATAATTTTGTTTGTTTGCGATGCGGATGGCAGTAACGTGGAATTTTCGTTTGTATCGGAGTTTACGAATTCTTTATAAATTGTTGCTAATGCTTTCGTCAAAATTGGGTATAAGTTGGGGTGCGCGATGTGGACGGTCAACCATCACTCCTCTTCCCAAACCCTGGTTTACTTCGGTGGTCACATCTATCGGGATCGTGAACGCCCCCTACAGGGATTCCGTTGACGTTAAAGATTCTTGTAACATTTCCTCTTCAATACTGGGCTCGGGTCGTAACGGGCACGCGTCGTGATTCATTTTTCTAATAATTAGTTATGTCTTTACTAACAGCAGAATTAGACTAGCGCCGAAATGCTCAATACTCCAACTCAACGATTCAATGTACGTTTTCACCTCTGTTTCCAATCTACATTAATTCCGGGAAAAAAGTCAATATTTGATCTATTATCGTTTTCACTTAAGTTTCTAATAGGAAGACAACATTGTCACCGCGTTCCTTAGTCGGTATAATGTCTAAAGTTTTTAATTTTAAAATTTACGCATGTTTCGAATCTCCGTACGAACAACTACTATGCTTTATCTATCAAGGATTTCACTACAGTTTCTAATCTAGAGAACAACCTACGGTCACTTTTCACTTCACCCTAGTTTCTAATTGTTCATTCACAATGAAAAAAGTTCAAAATTTACCTATCTTTCCAATACCCGACGGAAACCGTTAATGTCAGTAATTTACTGTATAAATCCGCGATACACAATCACTACATATACATTGGCTCAATCTAGTCTTAGAATTACTAAAGTTTATGCAACGACAAATTTTCACCTCAGTTTCCAACGCGAGGTGGACTAATACTTATGAGTTAATACTAGGATGTAAAGATCAGTTTTCAACTACGTTCTGAATGTACACAAGACTAACCTTTAACAGGCTCTACGGAGTCTAGGATCCTATTAATAAATTTCAAACGGGTTTCCAAAAACACTAGTTAGGTCTATGCCGAAATTCGCTACAGTTTCGAAACAATATGGGGTGACAGATTATTAGATAGCTAAAACGTTCACTTACCTTACGTGCTACTGTCTCTTGTCGCCCCGTGGGTCCTTCCACGCACTAATTCACTCTAATTTAGGTTAAGTTACTATAGTTATTATTATTATTCTCAAAGTTCACTACTTTAGGTACTAATTTAACTTATTTTTCTCTTTCAGATCAGGATGCAGTGATGCCACAATCCCACCAAGAGGACTACTAGGATGGAGTTCAATAAATGATGCGGTCAACTAGACACACATATTGAAACGCAAGATTACACTTTCCCAACAGAAATTCAGGTACGTACTCGCGGTAGGTATAACCCAGATTAGTCTCTTTTATTACTAAACAGGCTCAACTCTGAGCGTTAAAGGTTATTAAACTGTACAACCCTCGTGGTTGCAACAAAAACTGTGAATCTACTTTATTATTCAAATTTACTCTACTTGCGAGGTGGCTATTTGGCGAACCTCTAATCAGATAGACGTTTCCAACGTCTATCACACAAAAAATGACTTTCAGATTTTAATTATTATTACTAAATTTCGACTCACTTTTTTTTATTTAGATCAATTCTTATATGAAAGTGACAAATCTTCTTTCGAGAACGTGCGAACCCCACGAGAGAATCAGAATTAGTCCTCCCGATTTCTACACGGGTCGATATTTATAACCCCAGATACACTGGCCACGCCCCAAAACGTGGTTTGGACCAATCCGGAGGCTTTTTATCAGAATCCGCGGTTATGACCCTCGACACCACCCCCTTTGGAGACTGCTGGTTTATTCTACCTACCAGGAGTCTGTCACACAGTTTAATAAAAATATTTACAACAGTATTATTATTTTTTTCTACAATTCGTCGAGCCTCTTATGGGTACAAACCTACGATTGACACACCGTTTACAGGTTTGGGGCTAATGACTTCTTCCGGTACGTCTTCAATACTAACAGGATTCTCCTCTCTCACCTCTCGAGACGGGGTGATCACTTTCTTCTGACAAGGCCAGACGGTCCGGGTTGTGGAGATACTGAAAGATTTGAGTGCTTTGACTTGGTACTAAACGAGGGGCATGCATGTACTTGCCTGACTAATTGCGGAGAGATGGCCTCCTCGTCTGTACTCTGTCCAAGTGAACTATCCTACATCTCATCAGGGTGGACATTGGACACAGGAACATTCTCGTTGTCACTTCTACTTCGCGTTTCCTCCATGCTACTGGGCTGGAGTGGGACGTCATCGTTCTCATCTAGATCAGAAGTTTCCCCATCATCGGACTCCTCCTCAGGAACGGGTTCTGGTACTGGAACTTCCGGGTCGTCTAAAACTGCCTCCTCTGGCTCACACATCGGGTCGTGTTCCGGGTCGCTCCACTGGGGTTCGGTAACCCACGGTCGCAGATCGTCCACGTGGACTAACACCGATGAGTCATTGCGTTTTACCTCGTACACGTTCAACCCGCACACCCTCACCACGCGATACGGTCCGGACCACGTTGGCCCTAACGGAGTTTTTACACCCGCGAAACTACGTATAAATACTCTGTCACCTATATTAAAAATTACTTTCGGTTCTACATGTTCAGGAATTAAGTTTCTATTAAATACTATCTGCCTACGGCGGATTTGTTCAAGCCGGTTTTCGCGTTGTTGGGGGGTGTTCAAAATAGGTTGTCTAACCTCGGGAATATTCCATTCCCCTGGTTTTACTAATGGAGCTCCTAATAATGCCACGCTAGGGCTTACTCCGGTAGCTGCATTCTCCCTATTTCTTAACGTAAATAATATTTGTCCTAAACAAGTATCCCAGCGATCCTCCCCTCGTTGAAGACAATGGACTCGGAGGAGCTTCTTCAGCTCTTGATTTCTTCTTTCAACAGGGTTGGACCGCTGGTGATAAATTGGTGTCAAATACTGGGTTATACGATGCTGGGCAAAATATCGGGCGAGGGCATCACTAGTAAATGATTTGTCATTATCAGACATGATAGTTTCTGGATATCCCCACTGCTGGAACGTTCTTTCCAAAAAATCAATCAATATTTTGGGACGTACTTTAGGGACGGGTACCGCTTCTACCCATTTACTACACACATCCATCAAGACTATTAAAAATCGGTTCTTCTTTGGTGTTTCATTATACGGACCCATGACGTCTATACTGACGGCCTGCCAGGGTCTTCGGGGTGGCCTTGGTTTTAGAGGAGCGTGTTCCTTATTAGCACCTCCCCGTTTGGTGCACGCACAAACTAAACAATATCGTACATAGGTTCGTACTTGTTTTCTTAGGGCCGGCCAGTAGTATCTCTCCGAAATAGCACATAGGGTTTCATCCCTTCCAGGATGTCCAGCCTCAACATTATCATGGTGTTCGTGGATCACTCTCCTCCAATAGCCTAATGGTACTACCAGTCTTCGTCGTTCTTCACCTCAATACCATACTAGTCCATCTTCTACAACGTATTGATCCCGCAGAGTTCGTTTCCACTGCGTATCGGCAGGATCTTCCCCATTTTGGGGACGATTTATTCGAATACAAGTTGCCTGGTATTCAGCATTCTCTCTTTGGGCTTGTACTATAGCATCATACAATGACAATTCAGGGTCGTCAATCTGGGTTAATTATATTTGTTGAAACAACATTTGGGGTACTCGAGACTTGTTCGGGATATTATTTAATTCGGGTAGTTGTTCTTTATCAGGGACGTCAGTTCGGTGGGGCTGCTGAGTTGGACTCATCCGGTTATCATCTTCGACAATCCTTTCTTCTTCAGGGTTTCTACTCAAGAAATCGGGGAGTAAATTCACCCGCCCAGGACAATGTTCAACAACAAATTTAAATTCTTGCAGATATAATGCAAATCTCGTAAGTTTCGCCCGTTCATCCTTATATTTCTCCAACCAAAGGAGAGCTCGGCTGTCTGTCCTTAACAAACACTTTTTTCCCTCTAATAGAGGTCGGTATCGGCGACAAGCCCAAACCACGGCCAACACTTCTTGCTCGTTGCAATGATATCGCATTTCCGTGGCCGTGAATTTGGCGCTTGCGCACGACACCACCATCTTTTGGTTATCCACTCCTTCCTGGTAAAGGACTGCACCCATCCCCACCGAACTGGCGTCCGTCTGCAACACGAAACGTTGGTCCGGGTCGGGTCGGTGCAATTGTAATGGTCTTGATAGAGCTTCTTTTAACTTCTGGAAGGCTTCTTCCACTTCCGAATCCCACTGGAACTTCTTTTTTCCCAGTAATCGGGTCATAGGTACTGCTATTAACGAGAAATCTTTTACATATTCTCGGAGCCAATTGGCTATGCCTAGGAACCTCTGTAGTTCCTTTTGGGTCCTTGGCCTAGGGAAATCACGTATCTTTTCTATGTGTTTTTCTTGGGCCTCATTATGATGGGCCGTTATCTTGTGACCCAAGTAGTTCAACTCCTGCGCTCCGAAAACACATTTCTTCACGGAACATTTTAGGTTATGGCTTTTAAGTCGTTCTAACACTAATTGGAGGTGTCTCATATGCTCTAATCAATCATTAGAGTAAATCACAATGTCGTCCAGGTACACCTGGACGAATTTATCAACGTATCCAGCTAACACTTCAATCATTAGTTTTTGAAAGGTGGAGGGGGCGTTCTTTAACCCAAATGGCATCACTACGAATTCGTAGGCCGCCCCCTCCGGTGTATGAAAAGCCGTTAGCGGGATACTGGCAGCCTCCATCGGGACCTGCCAGGTTCCGCTCTTTAGGTCTAGTGAGGTGAACACTTTAGCATTTCCAATATCTCTCAACATGTCTGTTATAGCTGGCAGAACAGCTACTTCGTCTTCTGTAATCTTATTAAGTTGTCTATAATCTACGCAAAAGCGTACAGACCCATCAGGTTTTCCCACCAACACAATTAGTGAGCTATACTTAGAGTGGCTTCTACGGATGACACCAGATTTCAACATTTTCGTAACTTCGTCGTGTATTATCGTTTTCTTTTCCACGGAAAACTTGTGTCTTTGTATACGAAACGGTCGCTCCTCTTTCAGCTTAATTTCGTGACATACTAAATTGGTACATGGTTGCATCAAAACCTCCATAAACACTTCGGGGAAATCATTCAGGATTTCTTCATAGTGCGGTATCCATTCACGAGTGCAAATCTCATCGTTAAGCTGGATAGGTTCATACCTTATCGATTCAACACACTGTGCACGTCCATACACGGCATATCTTCGCTCAAGTCCAAAATATATCCCTCCTTGTCGGTAGTCTATTACGACTTCTTCCCGTCTCATCCACGTAGTTCCTATTATTACAGATTCCTTTAAGTTATCCATTAGATAGACTTCTATCTTGGTCCTAACATCGCCAATACCCATCTCGATTTCCACTGGTCCATTAACTATTACCTTTTGTCCGTCAGCCAGACATACAGGTCGTTTCATCTCCGGAACTTCTCCAACATAACAACTCAGTCGAAGAAATGAGTGGGAGGCTCCAGTATCTAACAGAGCGACCAATTCCTGGTCCTCGTATTTAACGGTAATTCTTAGCAACGCTGCTTCCCTATTATTTTCTTGTACGGAGCTAATATCTAGGGTTCCACAGTTAGCTCCTATACTGTGGTCCCCAACTAGTTTTCCGCCCTATAAGGTGGACCTACATTCGATGGTCCTTACTCTGATCGTTCTGGCAACGCTCTTCTTATATTTCTGCTCTCTTGGCCTTCTTCTCTTTCTCTGGCCCCAGGTCCTTGAATAGTCCTCCTTGGACACTCTCGAGTATAGTGTCTCCCATTGCACAATCGACAATTCTCGTAATTTGGTCGAGGCCGTGCACCTACAGGTACTAATTCTTGTCCTGTCCCTTCTTCAGTTCGTCGTAAATTGCTTGGCAACGTCTTCAATTGTAACTCCACTTCTGTAGCTAAACTATCAATTGAAGTTGAATCTCCGGTCGTAGCAATGTTTTAATTTGCAACACCATAGTTTCTACGTCACTTCCTAACTCCAATCTGCGGAATATCGCCACCTTTTGTACTATAAATAGTCTAGTCTCCTCTCTCCCCTACCCTTTGCAGAAGAATTCTCTTTGCAATCTTAATCTTAATTGCACATTATCATATCTGCCTAATAAATTTTGACTAAACTCGAAGAAATTCCAGTTTAACGTCTTATATTCTGCGTACCATCGGCTCGCTTCTCCCCGCAATCGTGATACGGCATATTTCACCCAATATTGCATTGGTAGTCCGTTTCTTTCGCAACTATCCCTAATTTGATTTAAAAATGACCTTGGGTTTTCAAAATTCGTACCATCATACATGGCGTCAAATTCTCTTATCTCTGCTCTGCTCAACTCTGGTCTAATTTGACTTTTCAACGCTCCTATCACTTTTTCCATCGCCGAACTGAATATTTCAGCGATTCTCTGCTCGCTTGTTCCATTACTTTCATTTAGGCGCCACTGGGTTGATTGCTTGCATCCCAGAACAGGTGTCTTATCGTAGACCTCTATTGGTTGATCTAAGATACTTTTTTTTTTGTTTACGAATTCTTTTCCGCCAGTTAGCTCTGTAGGTGGAGCTTGAAAGCTCTTAATCTCCGTGTCATGGTCGAGCCACGCGTGTCGGGCGCCATGTTCTCGCCGCGTCTCCGGTAAAAGACCGACTGACCCTCCGACTCTAACGTCGGGAATTATGCTTTTGTCAAAATTGGGTATAAGTTGGGGTGCACGATGTGGACGGTCAACCATCACTCCTCTTCCCAAACCCTGGTTTACTTCGGTGGTCACATCTATCGGGATCGTGAACGCCCCCTCCAGAGATTCCGTTGACGTCAAAGATTCTTGTAACCTTTCCTCTTCAATACCGGGCTCGGGTCGTAACGCGCACGCGTCGTGATTCATTTTTCTAATAATTAGTTATGTCTTTACTTAGGGTAAAAATCGGGAAAATAACGTACACTTCAATAGTCACTATATTTTAAACCGAACAGCAGAATTAGACTAGCGCCGAAATGCTCAATACTCCAACTCAACGATTCATTGTACGTTTTCACCTCTGTTTCCAATCTACATTAACCGCGTTCCTTAGTCGGTATAATGTTTAAAGTTTAATTTTAAAATTTACACATGTTTCGAATCTCCGTACGAACATGCTTTATCCATCAAGGATTTCACTACAGTTTCTGATCTAGAGAACAACCTACGATAACTTTTCACCCTAGTTTCTAATTTGTTCAAAATTTACCTATCTTTCCAATACCCGACGGAAACCGTTAATGTCAGTAATTTACTGTATAAATCCGCGATACACAATCACTACATATACATTGGCTCAATCTAGTCTTAGAATTACTAAAGTTTATGCAATGACAAATTTTCACCTCAGTTTCCAACGCGAGGTGGACTAATACTTATGAGTTAATACTAGGATGTAAAGATCAGTTTTCAACTACGTTCTGAATGTACACAAGACTAACCTTTAACAGGCTCTACGGAGTCTAGGATCCTATTAATAAATTTCAAACGGGTTTCCAAAAACACTAGTTAGGTCTATGCCGAAATTCGCTACAGTTTCGAAACAATATGGGGTGACAGATTATTAGATAGCTAAAACGTTCACTTACCTTACGTGCTACTGTCTCTTGTCGCCCCGTGGGTCCTTCCACGCACTAATTCACTCTAATTTAGGTTAAGTTACTATAGTTATTATTATTATTCTCAAAGTTCACTACTTTAGGTACTAATTTAACTTATTTTTCTCTTTCAGATCAGGATGCAGTGATGCCACAATCCCACCAAGAGGACTACTAGGATGGAGTTCAATAAATGATGCGGCAACTAGACACACATATTGAAACGCAAGATTACACTTTCCCAACAGGAATTCAGATACGTACTCGCGGTAGGTATAACCCAGATTAGTCTCTTTTATTACTAAACAGGCTCAACTCTGAGCGTTAAAGGTTATTAAACTGTACAACCCTGGTTGCAACCAAAACTGTGAATCTACTTTATTATTCAAATTTACTCTACTTGCGAGGTAGCTACTTGGTAAACCTCTAGTCAGATAGACGTTTCCAACGTCTATCACACAAAAATTGACTTTCAGGTTTTAATTATTATTACTAAATTTCGACTAACTTTTTTTATT